GCATTCTATGCATGCTATATATTGTTGTACATTGTTATTTTGTCACTTTTCTCTTCTATAGATTAACAGTCCAGAACAGGCTGCATTTTCATCAACAGATGTTCCACCCATAATAAATAGCTTGGGATAGGGGGCACTGGTGATGTACAATATCAGAGTACTGTTGCAGGTAACTGTGAACATCTGCCCCACTCGCTCTTCTTTCTGACTACTACTGTCAGACGTCAGCATTCTTTTGGTTCTTTACTTCCATCTGTAGACAGATTGATTTCTACTTGATAAATGTATAGACACTCAGAAAACTGAAAACAGCTGGAGCAGAGGAAGCTGTCATAAAAATATCAGTGTGACACCCTTGTCAGAGTTTTTACATGTTGAGCTTGTCCAGGGCTGTCCTTAGGGTGAAGCAAGAAGGGTAGCTGTCCCAGGAAAAAACAAAAAAAACAAATTATACTAAAGTATAATAATTTCGTTGTAATACCAGCATAGAGATAAGAATATGCTATTCAATAAAAATACATATCTTAAGAAGAGACCTGCACAGACTGCCCTGGGCCTCATATCCCTCTAGGGATGGCTTATGATGCCTAATTGTATTCAGCATAGTAAATGTGTTTGTATCATGTTATTACATCTGATGTTAAATTAGCAGTGATTTGAAAATATGTGAGACATGGGAAAATAAAAATAAAGAGCCAGGTTCAAAATTGTATTTGTAAATTATGCAGAAAGGAATGGAAATCATGCTTTTTCACACATAACTTATCTTCTTCTCAATATTATGCAGCCATAATTTTCTTCAACTTCACTTTAACTCTGTGAAAAGTAGTAGTCACACATTTTATGAACTTCAGACATAAATATCTGGTTAAGAAAGTGTATAAATTATGTAAACATTGTATGTACCTTAGCGACAAGACCAAAAATTCTTTTCTTGTTCTGAATGATAGAAGCAGTGAAAATGTATTGTCTTGTTTTCTTTTCTGAATTATATGAAGGTTTCTTCATGTGATAAAATGAGTCAATGTGAATTAAAGAATATGAATGTAAATTACAAATATTGGAGTTCTTGCAACAAACCACATGAAATATAATACAGCATATGACCAGCCTGTAAAATTGTTTCTTACCCTTATCTTTACTGTTCTACATTACAATTCCCCATGTTCTGTACACACCTTAACTGTAATTTTAACTGCAACAAATATGGTCAGAAAGGAGAAATTATTTTGGCAAGCCTCTATCTACAATCATAACAAGATAACAGAGATAACTACTGCATACAATACAACAGTAAAAATGTAAAAGAAACAGTAGCAAATTATATACAATTAACCAAAACTGTGCAAAAACAATACAGTATAACTAAAATAAATGAGAGACATCATTTAATTTTTCAGCCGCAGCAATAATTCTCCTTATTTAATGCCCTGAATTTAGTGGGCCATTTTACATTCAGGAAAATATGGTACAATACTGTTTCTGTTAGACCTTACGGTAATCAGTACTTGTCTTTGACTTTTGGGCCAGGCAATATGAGAGGTTTTCAGGTGAAGTCATATGGAATACTAAAAATATAAGGTAAGGACAGTTTCTATGGACCAGAATAGAGTATCATGACAAATTTGTTTCTGTAAGACTTGAGGTTCTCACAGCGGTGAATATGAAGATTTCTGTCTTCTGGGTTATTGCGCTGTGTAGTCTGGTCGATGTTAACCAACGTTTCAGAGGTCATACTGCCTCCGTCTCCTTACTAAAACAACTTATACCATGTATTGGTCAGTCAAACCTTCGTAAGGCCGTAGCTTTACCTTATCTGTTCTTCCCTTTTGAATAAATCATACTTAGTCTGACAGTAATATAAAGAATACAAATCACTTGACAAGAGAAAGGAATGATACAAGAACATGAAAAAAGCAAGACTTAAGAAAGAATTCAGAATGGGAATATTCCATGGAAATGATTACATATTACAAATTCATGTTAAGACATAATGAAACAGTTCATTGTAACTGAAAGTTAAATATTTTTAGGAATTTCTGGCTCAAGACCATCACACAACCTCCACGTTAAATCACCATGCGACTCAAAGTTTTCCACTGTTTGGAATAACACCGATAAACTGGTTACAATCACTTCTTCCCAGAAAAAACATTTTAATATCAAGTATATTACTCAACTACACTGTTAACAGTAATACCATGTGTCTACAATCACACACAAAATGTTTGTCAGATTCTTCAATTACCTTATGGCTGCTGATAGAAGTAAATGTTATACTGGTATGAAATTGGAAGTTCTGAAAGGATACTGTTGGATATTGCAACTGTCCTACACGATCAAGAACAATCACAGAAAAACTCCTGAATCAGTGATGTTTGCATCCAGGTAAATGATTATGAGACTGTGAAGCGCTTACCAAATGTATGTTACTATATGAGATCCGATCACAAAATATGAACACTGAATTAAAATCTCAGATTAATTACACTGTGCAAGGATGTGGTTGTGATAAAACTTGAATATTACTGTAATGTCCAGGCACATACACAGTTATTCCCATTCTTTTGTCAGCATTTAAGTCGGTGTTTTCTTATCATCCATCAATTAAACATTTGTGAGTATAGGACAAAGTATACACATTAATTTTGCAAGATCCCAAAAATGGCGACCAAACTTATCAACTGATGCAAATAGCATTTGTAGATGCAACAATCAGCCCAACAAAATTTTTTGAGTGGTTCCATCATTATACAGTGGGTTGAATGTCAAATGAAAATCATGAGTACCCTTCAGTCAGTAGAAATGACAAATCAGTAGATAGTGTAATTTAGTGTCAAAAAACAGGAGACTGACTACACTGTTCAACAGCCAAAATATATCGGAGATGAAACCAACCAATTTTTTTTACTAATTTTGAGCTGCTAAACACGAAAATGACATTCATTTTGCACGATTGGGTCGCATTTCAAAGATATTCATACCAAGCTGTAATTTTCAGAATTGTAATGGACTACTTACTTCAGAAACAGCCTGTACAAGGGCAGAGAAGGTTTTTATTGCTTCCTGCAGGTCTAGTCAACATCCATAAGAGATGTTTAATAAATTGGTTCAGTTGTACTTGTGGTTCTGTTTGGCAAACAAGTGTTTTGTGGAGTGCAGATTTTGTGTTTCACTTTGTCTTAGAATACTTATGTAGTAAACAGCAAAAACCTTGTGAGTACTTAAATGAGGTATTTGTTAACACTAAAATACACAAAATGTCACGTAGATGTGTCAATAATCCTAACAACTTTTGTTATATGTGTGGAGAATTGACTTTTAAATCACGAAAACGAAACTTGACCCCCATTAAGAAAGCGTACCACCTTTATTTTGGTTGCAAAGTGGGTGACATGGACACCCCATATTTGCTGTCTGAAGTGTTCTACAAATCTACGTGAGTGGCTAAAAGGAAAATTGAAATCTATGCCCTTCGCTGTGCCCATGGGGTGGCGGGAACCGCATAACCATGTTAACAACTGCTACTTCTATATGATTCCTCCTGTCATCGGCATAAACAATAAGAAAAAACATGCTTTGATCTATCCAAACATCCCCTCAGCCATTCGTCCTATACCCCACAATCATGAACTAACTATCTGTACCTGTCCCTCCTATCTCCTACACAGCTGATTGCGGCAAAGAATGCTCACCATCACCACCATCAGATGACGCCATTCCAAGATCATCGGCATCTCAAGTTTGTGCCAGAAACATTACCTTCTAGATCTCACAGAGAAACTCAGAGTAAACTAAATGATCTAGTGAGAGATTTAGACTTGCCTAAGTATAAGGCAGAGTTGCCAGGATCACGACTTAGGCAACGGAATGTACTTGAAGAAAGTGTTAAAATATCCTGTTATCGCGTTCATCAGATTCCTTTACAAAAATTTTTTTCCATGCAAGATGATCTCGTATTTTGTGATGACATACATGGTCTTATGGATGCCCTGCATATAGAACATAACCCAAATGAGTGGCGGCTTTTTATAGATTCCTCAAAAGTCAGCTTGAAAGCAGTATTATTGCACAATGTCAATAAATTACCCAGTATTCCTATACCTCATGCGGTTCATATGAAAGAGACAAACGATAACATTAAACAATTAATTAACAGGGTGAATTATGACAAATATAAGTGGTGTGTATGTTCAGATTTAAAAGTGGTGGCTATCATACTAGGCCTTCAGCAGGGTTACACAAAATATTGCTGCTTCCTATGTAAGTGGGACAGTCGTGCAAGGAATATACATTATGAAACTAAACAGTGGCCCCTTTGACAGAACTTGGAACCAGGTTCTAAAAATATTGTCCATGAACCACTGGTAGCTCAAAGCAAAATAATACTGCCAGCATTGCACATTAAATTGGGTCTGATGAAAAATGTTGTAAAAGGAATGGACTGAAATGGAGAAGCCTTTAGGTACCTCTTTCACAAATTTCCCCAACTAAGTGAAGCTAAAATCAATAGGTCCCCAAAGAAGAAACCTGATTGTTGATGAACATTTAGTTGACATTTTGACGGGAGAGGAGAAAGTTGCATGGGAATCCTTCAAGTCAGTTGTTAGGAATTTTCTTGGAAACAACAGGGCACCAAACTATAGGGAATTAGTAGACAAATTGTTGAAAGCATACAGTAAAATGGGATGCAATATGTCTCTTAAAATGCATTTCCTCCACTCTCACTTGGACATTTTCCCCTGATAATCTTGGATCGGTTAGTGATGAACATGGTGAACGATTTCACCAAGATATATCTACTCTTGAAAGGCGTTATCAGGGGAAATGGAGCGCATCAATGATAGCTGATTACTGCTGGTCGGTGGTAAGAGATGCCCCTGAGGTGAAATACAGAAGAAAGGCCAAAAGACAACGTCTATAAGGTTGGTAAAATTTTTAAACATTTGTATATCATACGGACAAATTTATTGGTGATATTTTACAAAGTACAAAATATCTTCAAAACGCGAACTACCTAAGCTTCTTTATTGTCATTTTCGATTTTAGCGGACGAAAATACATAAGAATTGATCAGTTTCATTTCCGATATATACAACTCATTAAAATTTGTTGTCTACTATTCATGAAATGGCTAATGAAGTTGGAAAGTTGCAATGTTTGTTCTACTACTGACACAGGAACAGAAATAAAACCAACATTATTATGTAAACACAGTTACAACAGCTGCCCCACTCACCACACATAACTCCATGTATTTTTGATCCTTGAATAAAAAAATCTGCAAGGAAAAAGACTGGATGATGTGGAAACAACAATGCATCTGAACAGCCGTCAGCAATTCCAAATGAGTTTGAGAGGTGTTCTTGAAATGGCAAGAACAGTGGAGAATTTGTTTATGTGCTAAAGGAGCCCACTTTGAAGCAGATTATCATCCAATCCCCATACATACAGTATATTAATTTTCAACGACTCAGTTTCAATACTTTTTGATCAGGCCCCAAACTTAGAATTTCATGTCCGTAAATAATTTTCAAACATCTTAACTGATGTTTTGCCAATATTCTTACTTTATATATACATAACGTTTGACAAAACACACTGTGGATGCCAATTTATCACATTACTTCACAAATTCATTGCTTTTATTGGTAACAAACTGTTCCAGTTACAACTGAAAAGAAATGAAGTAGTATACATTTCATAACCAACTCTTTCTTGGAATACATTCCCTATAAAAATTAACATTTTCATACATAAATTCTGATAAATTTGTTCCACACTGTATAATATTGTAAAGAAACACCTAAGGCACAACTTTAGATGAAATACAGTAATATATGACAAAACAAAATAAGGGAATAACAAATAAGTTGTATCCCCAGTACAAGAAATCATACGACATCACATCTGTTTTCTAATTTATTTCTAGACCATGTATTCTTTGTGTTTTTACTGAAAAGTTCTGTAATCATACCTGTAATCACACACACTTCTTGTACAGTACAGACAGTAAACACAGAGACATTTTAAATACTTCAAAATAAAACTGGAAACCCTCATTATTACCACTCTGACCAGCAAAACAGACATTATTTTCATGTTCAATCACTATCACTGTCACACACCACCAATTATGTTTAAGTCCTACTTCTTACAGTGTTTCTAAAGTGTCCACTAATGTTGATGTCTTTCTCTAAACTACTTGTTTCTAGCAGAAATTACTCACCTTTAGATTATTTAATTGTACCCAAATCACCACACAGCTGACATAAATAACTGTAACTGACATTCAATATTCAATAAAACCACTGAAATCTAAAAAAATATGTATGTGTAAGTTTGCACCAGGATATCAGACAGCCAACATGACAAACAAATGGAATACCAAAAATATTACACTGCCAAGGATTTTATCCACTACCTATAAATGCTACTTAATAATTTTATTGAACATTAAACATAAATAAAAATTGTTTGCATTATCCGTGCAGTGACTTTGATATAATTAATGAACCTTAAGATCATTAATTTCTATTCACAACATGTAATTCACAGAAAAACAATGACATAGTGCACAATTTAGGACTGATGTAAGAAGTGGGACTTAATGATGATGGTGACTGGAAGCAAAAATAATTAGTGGACTCACCAGAATGCTGTACTACAGATGTAAACATTTAATAAGGTGGATTCACATTCAACATGAATTGTTAATACATGTAACATGAAATATGCATACTGCACTTTGAACAATTAGTATTTCAAATCTCAGTAGTGTGATCAACTGCTCATTAAAATATGTTCACTACTTAAATATAATCTTTTAATTAAATAAATATTTGTGGTTAATTTGAACCATAACTGCATATTTAATCAACACAAGTGACAAATTTTTTTATGCAGGAATAAATTGTAATTACAAGCTCTTATGTTCTTTGACATCATGACATAAATACGATTGGGCTATTCACTGGGATTGGATTTTCTTCCCACAACTAAGGAGGGGGGGGGGATTTTTAACAATAATTTTATACACATAAATAACACTACATGCTAAAAGAATTGGATGATCTTTCATGTGACAGTATTAATAGAGGCTGTTAACATGAACAGTGAAAAATATTATTCATTATGAATATACCATGATAAGCCTTATGTTACATCAAATATTCAATGTGAATCAACCAGTAAACTATCTTCCAGCATGTTTTCCAGTCAGAGAGAAACATAATTTATCATATTTTTTATTTATTAGTTTTATTAAGTCACTTTGTGACTAATATCTCACAATTTCAATAAATATTTTTAATCACATATTACATGTACCTACAGAAGAGCAATTAACAGATCCCATCATTTGATGACAGTAGTAAATATGCTCTCTATAAGAAACACTGGCAATTAGTGTAAATAAGCATTCAGACATCAAACTAAATTACCAGTTGCAATTATTAATTAGGGATTTACTTGTAAATGGCAGTATAATATAAAGAAATTCATAGGAGATAAACAGCACCATCACATTACCATTTCACTTGTGTTGCTTGCGCTGACTTATGTTTCTCTGTACACTTAACTTCACGAAGCAGAGTCCTTCTTGAGAAGCTAATAGTCGCTCAGCTAGTCAAGAAATTCCCCACATTTTATGGAACCCAAAGGTTCATTACCTGAAAGACCACCAGCTCAGCTGAGACAAGCGAACTGCAAGTATACCACTCTGCACATTCAACACTCATAACAGAGCCATGAACTGATGTCTTTAAATTGCTAGAATATATTACAAAAATATGGCTACTAAGGTCTGAACAGTTGCACATGATTACAATCTGTTTTCCATACTTCGCACATCTTGACAGAACATTAAACAAATCAAAGAAGAGTATCACTTATCCAACACTATGCATCAATTTATCACACTGCCCTTACTGACCGAACCGGGGAACACTTCTTTATAAGCTGATTGCACCAAGTATGATCCTAAAGCAGTATGACCTTCTGACTTACCAATACATACATTTCTCAAAATAATCTTACCACAGCATTTGACAGATCTTCACCAGGATTTTCCTTCTGCCATTTCATGTCATACATAAACAGGTCCCTGGTTTTCATTGTCATCTAAACTGATCTTACTAGGATAAGCAGGGCCACCGCCATCATCAAAAAATCTTCGAAATGTAAACTCAAAAAATCCATGGAAGGGCTTCCCATTGTCCAATAATTCATCTGATTTATCTGACCCTGATGATCCTGAATTCCTAAGTCTTTCAGGATCAACTGGGTCAAAATTCGATGTATCAGTTGAATACTGAATTCGAGGTATGTGGGGAGCTACCTGACGACGAAACCCCTTGTCAAAGTCTACACTGTTGAAAAATGGATGAGACTTCACTTCTGAAGCATTCTTCCCTATCCTCCTGTCTGCCCCTGTACAAAGTTTAAGAATAAGGTCCATTCCCTCAGGAGATAAATTTGCTGCCTCAGGGATGCGAAGTGTGTTCTCCCAATTGATGACCTACAACAAGAACACATTTAGTACAAATAATATTTATAATTCATCATCTTCATACTTGTCTAGCAACTTATGAAATTGTATCAGGGACCACATTGCAAAGCAAATCTTTCTTAAACTTGTACGACACACAACAATAAGCTGATACAGACTGGTTTACTAATTATTGTTATGTACCACACTCCTTAGGAAGAATGCTGTTGTTGCTGATGTAGTTATTGTGGCTAATGCCTCCAGTTAAGGAGCCGGGATAGCTCAGTCAGTATAGTGACTAGCTACGGGCTGGACGGCCGGGGTTCAATCCCCGACGGGGGCAGAGGATTTTTCCTCTAGCCTCTGCGTCCAGACCGGCTCTGGGGCCCACCCAACCTCCTCCACCCCCATCTAGTGCCGAGGTCAAGCGCCTACATGGCATATAGTGGGACAGCTTTACTTTATACTTTTACTTTACTTTGCCTCCAGTTATGCTCTTACTGACATTCCTTGTCTGCTCACCTTGGCATTAGTGAAGGAGGGAAGTTGGGAAAAATACATATACTGAAATCAGTTTTGTACAGGCATCTCATCCACAGACCATCAGATCATCTCTTTGGGAAGAATATATACAAGCAGTTTAAATCAGTCATGACAAAGAATCTGAGCATTATCATCTTCATACAGTCATGACATTGTACAACTGAAAACTGTTTCACATAAACCTTTTGCGAAGCAGTAGAAAGCGACAAAAGTATTTTCCTACACTCAACACATAAGTTACTAGGATTACGAGTATCAAAAAGCACTGGTTCAAACAGTAAGGGAAAGGAATAAAACACAGTTATAAAGATCTTCCGTTATCAGAGCTGGATATTTAGACATAAAATTCAGAATGTTCAACTACTATCATGTTGAAAAAGTAAATTTCACTGGAAAATGCTGACTTACTTTGAACTGAGTTTCTGCAGGTGTATTGGCTAGGAAAGGAGGTGAACCTACAAGCATCTCATATAAAATGACTCCAACACTCCACCAATCACACAACTGTGTGTAACCAGTACGCAGCAACACCTCTGGTGCTATGTAGTTAGGTGTACCAACAAGAGAATGTGCAAGACAACGCTGATGTTCCCTTCTCCGTCTTCGTTCTAGGGGCTTCAGCTGATGGCAACGACACTCATTACTCCAATCCTCAGATGGATCCATTGAATCCTGACGACCATGTTCACCTGACAAAACAAAGATCTTTTACAAATGTACAAAGTCTTAAAGGCAACACAGAAACAGACTTCATAGTTCAAAATCTCTGGCAGAAAAAGAAATTCTAATGCCTTGCCTGCTAGTGAACTGAACTGATGAGGAAGCTTCTATAAGGATTACCTCAATCCAATCAGGATAATGTTTATAAGCTAGTTTTCTAATGTATATAATTCACATATATATTAAGAAATGGTAATATGAAGCAAACATTTCATTTTAACACTTTCTGCTTCATATTTTGAGCGCAGAAGTCTCTTGTACATCAACATTCTAAAGCACAGGTATGACAGTGAAACATTTACGACATAAAATTGCAACAGAATTTCTACCAAACCACTGTACCCGATATGAAAAAATGCAGATGTTTCAAATGCTGCAAGTATATACAATCTATATATTCTTTCTCTCTCTTTGGACAATTTTATATTTATATTCAGTTTACATCAAACAATAATTTGACTAGTTTTTTGACAAAGGTGAGTCATTAAACTGCTGCATATTCTTGGACATTTTCCTTAATTTTTTTTAAAACACCACAAGACATTTTGGAAGCTGACTCTACATCCATAATCAGGCTAAACCATACAACCTATCAGTTGGGCCTACTGGAAAGAGATTACCTCAAGCCAGTACTTCATTCCGCAAGACCCAATACTGTATGGTTTTACCTTAAGACGGAAACACAGCCAACTTCCAAAATGCCATGAATTTTTACATTTAAATTATGAGACAAAGAAAAAGGTTTAAGAATATAAATTAATAATAACCCATACAGGATGCCTGATTTGTAAAATACAGATGAGGAAATGACATGTTTTTACAAGAAGAAAATGAACACCTTGTTGCTTCAAATTAAAAATGTACACATACATCAGTGCTGAATAATTTCTACAGTTAATGTTTATCCACACTTTGAAACACAATTCTTCCATTTTAAAAAATGATGCTTTCGGTCAATCTGTTCT